TCTGCCTCTCTCTCTCTCTCTCTCTCTCTCTCTCTCTCTCTCTCTCTCTCTCTCTCTCTCTCTCTCTCTCTCTCTCTCTCTCTCTCTCTCTCTCTCTCTCTCTGCCCTCTCTGCCCTCTCTGCCCTCTCTGCCCTCTCTGCACTTGAAGCGCGCACGTGCGTGGTACGCGACGAATGTGTAGAATTTGCGGAAAACGCGCGTACGGATTACCGTATCTCCGGACCTCGGCTGTCTGCGGATAAGACGCCAGCGGTTAAGTCGCACCGCTGAGTCCCGCGCTTTTAATCTCGAGCTCGCGACCAGCGTGTCTCCGCCTTCTCCTCGCCCCTTTGCGCGAGGCGCTTACGTATTTGTACATTCTCGTTTCGCACGCTCGAAAGAGATATCCGTCCTTTTGGCTGACGACACGTCTGTCTCTCCCCCTTCTTTCCGACGTACCGGGTACGTAATTACAGGTTTGCTGGAACAAGACGCGATGGTTCAGCGAGACACGCTGAGATTTAACCTCCTGAGATACAGGCTCGCGATGTAACGGCTAGATTTTTAGCGCGGGCAGTGAACTTTGGAATACAGAGACTGCCCAATGTAGGCAGACGCGCGGCGTCTTGTAACGCCTTTGCAGCAAGGCTAAGCTCCGGTCTCGCCAACGTTGTTTAACTTTAAGCCTAGCTTAATTCGTTCTTCGTCTCCGTCCAACTGTTACTACAGAAAGAGACAAACATGAATAAAACTAAGGTTAAAGTTAAGCGACGTTTGGTGAAACCAGACCTAAGATAGAGTAAATTAAAAGTTCAAAGCTATAACTGATAAAATGTAACTAGATTCAGTTCAAGGCTATAATGTAACTAAGTTGAGTGAAAATGATCTGTTTATCTTTTTAACTAGACACTACCCAACCCTGCTTGCAGGTTTCGGTGTTTCTTCGATCGAGAGCCCCGGGCACTGCCGTCATCATGTCGACGACGCTGGCACTACCGCAAAAGAAGTACTACAGACAACGCGCGCACTCGAATCCCATAGCCGATCACTGCATCGAGTAGTGAGTAGTTCTTCGGGAGTCCCTCGTCAAGAATGCGATAGTCGTTACCGCGCGCCACTTGTTGCAGCCCGATAAAGCCGGACTCGATGGACTGGAGCGCCTTGTATCCGCAACACTTTCGGAGCCGCGCCGAGCAAACGCCGGAGGCACAGAAACGTGTAGAATTTGCAGACGTTGGCTGTGGCTACGGGGGGCTACTGGGTAATCTGTCCTTTACTAATATTACCGACGGCGACGTTACAACATACTTGCGGCCCGGTTTCGCCAAACGTCGCTTAACTTCAATCGTAGTTTAATTCACGTTTGTCTCTTTCTGAAGTAACAGTTGGAAAGAGACGGAGAACGTTGGTGAAACCGGGCCTTAGACAGTTTCACCAACGTTGTTTGACTTGAAGCTTACAATTAGCTTAATTCGTTCTTCGTCTCTTGTTACTGTTACTTTAGAAAGAGACAAACGTGAATTAAACTAAGACTAAAGTTAAGCGACGTTTGGTGAAACCGAGCCTTTAGACGCCCCTTCGCTGGGACTCGCTCTCGCGCGCCCCGTCCAAATTTTGCGCCCTACGCTGGAGCGTACATCGCACACCGCCTAGTAACGGCACTGATTACCGAAAAACCAAAGTAACCGACGAATTAATCTTCAGTCACCCTGTCTCCGATGTTCCCGGATAATCTGATACTCGGTATGGAGATTAGAGTAAAGGTATCGGACTACGTTATGGATCGCATCGCTGCCTTACGGTCGCGGAACCCCGGCCAATATCAGAACGTTGCCTGTCTGAGAACAAATGCCATGAAGTATTTGCCAAATTATTTCTACAAAGGACAGGTGAACAAAAAGTCATATGATTACATCATCCGGTAGACGACAAGAAGTTAGAATGGCTGTACATTAATCCAGATCTTTCGTTTGCGTAGCTAAAGAAGATGTTTTTCCTGTACCCAGACCCACACTTCAAAAAGTCGAAGCATAAATGGAGAATAATAAACAAATCTCTGTTAGCGGAGTACGCTTATGTTCTAGCCGAGGGAGTGAGTACCGCCTGGTTTGCTGTATTACTTCTGTAAGGTTAATTTTTTTTAAATTAACATTGGAAATAAAGGCAGAAGCCGTGCTACAATTATATTTTGAGATTGATAATACATAAATAAATAGAAACATTTTCACGTTTTCAATTTCAAAATGTAATTGTTAGCATGGGCAACCAGCTTCGATTCTCCTTTGTTTTCAATATTGATTTTTATCATTGTGAACCTTCGTACTTTGTATTTTTAATTTTCTGAATTATTAAAATTCCAAATTCAATTCAACCGCAGCTGGCCAAATTTAAAGTCGAAAAAAATAGACGCGTAGACAACATCTTTGTACTGTTATTTTGACAAATATTATAATCAGCCTCGGTGGTCGAATTGGTGAGACTCCCGCCTGGCGTGTAGAGAGGTCCAGGTTCAAACCCTGGCTGGGGTAATATTTTTCGCAATTAATTTTCTGCATTGACAGAGAAATTAACAAGTGTGGCCAGCTGCGGTCGAATTAAATTTGGAATTTTAGTATTATACTGGCAATTTGAAGAAACTAATCTTCTAAATTATTATCAGGCCATTGTATATACCGTAACGGACGTGGAGGATCTACATAAGTGGATAGTTCAACACTTCCAAGAGCACCCACTGTTCGAAGAAGTCGCCAAGCAAGATTTGGTAAGTACGGCTGTTTATTAATTTTTTTCTCTGTACAACGGTGATGCCGACAGACTTGGTTGATGCAGGCGGCGGATCCTGTGGTGGAAAGATTATATGAAAGCACCGAGGAAGGTAAGAAGGTCACCAGAAACAAAGGAGATAAATTCCTGGCCGTATTCAAGAGAATCCCGGATCCCTATGTCGTAACGAGTAGCTAGCAGCGGCGGTTACATGTGATCGTCCGGCTACTTACAATTATACAGCGAAGGATGTTCTGGACGAGGGTACTAATTCTGACACCACGGGCTGCGTTCAGAAACATCACCCGAATGTCCCAGTGTATTATTTTATCCTTGTTTAACATACGGTAAGCAACAAGGATAGAATGATACTCTGAGGTACTCGCTTGGTGTTTCTGAACGCAGCCACGGAGGAATATCTGTGTCGATCAGTGAACTCTATACATACTGGAATGAGTGATCTATTGTTCTGGCTGTTGCCGAGAGAGAGAGGTGCGTTTGGGTGAATCCTTGTCTCCTTCTAGTACTACCTGATTGGATAGTCGCGTATAAATGACGAGAAGAAGGGCGTCACTTATATGCGATTATCCAATCAGGTAGTACTAGAAGGAGACAAGGATTCACCCAACGCACCTCTCTCTCGGCAGCAGCCAGAACTATATAAAAAATAGATCACTCATTCCAGTATGTATAGAGTTCACTGGTGTCGATGTAACGACCACGTTTCCGAAACGGATTCGCAAGGAGAGAATAAGATAAATGATTATCTTGTTGTGAATAAACTATATTTCGCGATACCTCGCCTGATTGTTTTTTTTCCCTGCTCACGCTACCATGTTCAAGTAGTCTGTGCGTCCGATACCTGTACGCTCGACTAAATGTGCCGTCTTTAAATCGAATTCTTCGTGCATTATGACGAACAGCATGCGTAAAATAAAGCCGATAGATCAATTGATTCTTTAAAGGAGCATCGATCGAAAGTAAAATCTTACCGCTTCGAATATACGATTAATTAACGCTCGCGGCGGCGAGATGTGCGATCTCCGTATCAATCTCTTTCTTTCGCGCAAACTCATTTTGAATTGCGAGTAAAATAAATTCGACTTCTTCCCCAAAATATCTTACATCAGGTCTTCGAACAATTTACTATTGATTATTTCCAGGGTTGAGAAGTTACTCGTTACTTGTAACGAAGTTACAGTTACTTCTTTTTGGCAACTCTAACTTAACTTCGTTAAATTTTGCATTTCTAACGCGATTTCCTACGCCCCGAAGGCGTATCGAAGGCTCGTAACTCCTCAGTCGCTAGAGTCATTATTGTCAAACATACAGCCTCTTTAATGTTAGCGCGGAAATATCGCAAGTCCCGAAAGGCTAAAATTTTCGAAAACTGCAGTCCTGACGCATTTTCTATTCCCCCGCGCAAATTCTATCGAAGTTTCCTAAAGTGCGGGTGAAGAATTTGTTACCGACGTGAGGAGCTTAATTACGCCGCCACCATCTATCGCCGGTCGTGTGGGTTACACGCCACCGCTCGCAATGGGTAACTATCCTGTCATCGGTATTGCAGCATGCAGCACTTACCTTGCGGCGGCGGATCCCACGATGACCGATCGTTTCTTGTTCTGGCCGTCGCGACGCGTCGCCGAGATGACGTACCGATCCATCGTGTGGTCCCTCGTTGGATCGGATGTTGAGTTGCTCCCGCGAAGTAATCCCATTGTATCCAAGCGGTCACAATTCACAATAAGAATATGCACTTTCACACATCGACGACTTGACACTCTTTTTTTTTTTTGGGGTGTTCCCCTCTACGGGGGCGTCGTCAACCGACTTAACACTCGCCATTCGCGACGGATGAAATTCACTCTCGAGACACACGGGATAATCGGTCGACAATTAATGCGCGTTGTACACTGGACACTCCCGACACTCCCGTTCGCGTTGCACTCTCGACGTTTTCGGCGGTTTAAGGCACGCGAGACGCGACAACTGCTCTTGCGACTGGCCGATCGGCGACTAGGGCTCACTCCCGACGATCGCGAATCGCGATTTCCCGGCACGTTACTCCCGGCGGCTGCTGGAACGCCACGAACGAGCTTGCGAACGCACTACTTACTCACGGCACCCCGGACACGGGACTCGCCCTCACGGCGAGCCGAAATCGACGGAAGCACAAAACGGATTATCGCGCCCGACAGACTCTCTCTCCGCGATTGCACTTTTCGAACGTGAAAGCAGCGGCCAATCAGGCTGCGAGCTTTTAAGCATCGATCGTGCAATGACAAGATCATGCAGCTTCTTCTTCTTCTTCTTCTTATTACTGGCACTCGGCTCATTAACCACTGAGCCGACACGGCCAAGACGAACGTTTAGTCCTCTATAAATGTAACGCGCTAAATCTCTAAACGTGCAATCGCGTTTTTAATGTCACACAATGCAGAGGCTCAACTACCGAGCCTCGCGCGGGATGATGCAATCCCTATTGGATGATGCAATCCCGCAGGATCAAAAATTCTATCTTCCGTCGGAAGACGTGTGAACCGCTCAACGGCCCAGACGGGACTAAGATCATGTAGCGAACCTATCTCGTGTAATTATAGGTCTGTTCGTATTGCATGCATACGCGTATATTATAATAATAATATTCTTCTCGACAAATTATCGCAGTACGACAAGATTACGGGTCGCGACAATAACTTAGGGCCGTGGCACACAAACGGCCTTAAGCAATAAGCCGTAAGCAGTAAACGAATTGACCAATCATAGTCGAGAATATATAATATGGTGCCATAATTCTCGACTATGATTGGTCAATTCGTTTACTGCTTACGTCTTATTGCTTAAGGCCGTTTGTGCACAGTATAAAGGCCTTCACACACAAAATTCCGTAAGGACGTAAAACGTAAGCGTAAGAAAATCAACAGGTTGGATTTGCTACTGCTTGCGTCATTGCCTTACATTCTCGACTGTGATTGGTCGATTTTCTTATGCTTACGTTTTACGTCCTTACGGAATTTTATGTGTGAAGGCCTTAACCAGGGCCCCGATTCTTGAATTTCATTCGAAGAAGAAACGTATACGAAAATTCTGCTCCGACAGAAAGGTTGAAAGTCGACTTTCAATCGATCGATTGGTCAAAGCCATGCGAATAGCCGATCGACTTGCAACTTTTCTGTAAGAGCAGAAGTTTCGCATACGTTTCTCCTTCGAATGAATTCAAGAATCGAGCTCCTGTAGTGGCACTCGCTCTTTTGTTTCACGTTCGCGCCGATCCGTACTGCGCATCCGACATGTTTTTATTCTGACCAATCACAGGATTTTTGTACGTGTGTTAGTGCAAAGTCGGTGTGACGTTGAAAAATTCGCAGTGTTGACGAATAATGGGTAAATACTTTTATACGTTGGAGCAAGTAATTACGTTAATTACTTTTATTAGAACATTTTCTTTCATAGGCCATTTCCATTTACAATAAATAATGTATGCCAGTTCGTATGCGCCTTTCCTGGATACGATCCTGAAAAGGGCCCAGGCACTTTTAGCCGTTGATACACTGTTGGCGCGAATAAAAACATGGCGGAAAATTGAGAACGCCCAGATCAAAGGTGCCGACAGAGAGTGCAACTACTGGTTATACTGTGGTCCTTACGCGCGATTGATAAATAGTGATAACTCTCGTAGGAGACGACCGCGGTGCGCAGCAAATGTTCGAGATTCTTGCGGGAAATAATCGCGTTACGTAGACGCGACGCGAGAACACGCGGAACGTCCGCCTAGCTCGACTGATTCGAATAGACTGTTTTCGACCGAGTTGTGTACAGCTTTCGGTTCATAGCCCTACGTCATTTCTTGGAAACCGGCGCTCGGCTTTCGACCGAGACAATAGATTGTTTTCGACCGAGGTGTTCACGGCGCTACGTCATTTCTTGGAATCCGCGCTCGGTTTTCACGGTGTTTACGGCGCCGTACGCGGGATCATTCACGCGGCGACAGTCGAGTTGATCGGTTATGCCCGCGCCGCTTCGCATATCGTATTGTTCTTCCTTGATACGCGTTCGCGAGGATTCAGCGATCACGCGGCGATATCGTTCGCCAATTATTCGCAGAAAACGATCCAAGTTTCTTCCCGTACTTGTCGCGAACGCGTAAAAAAACAATACGATATGCGAATCGGCGCGGGCCACTAACGTTAACAATCCGGCGGACGCCGTGACTTTTTTTTTGCCACCCATACAGCACATGATATTCGGAGAACGTTCTAAGAATGTTCTAGAATGTTCTAGAATCCGCGCTCGGTTTTTACGATGTTTACGGCGCCGTACGCGG